TGCTCATTGAACACCGGCTGAACACGTGATGCACGGTCTGCTTAGGGACACTAACAACCTGAAGGCTGCTGCAGGAGGCATTCTTCCGAACGGGATGAGAAGGAACACATCATGGAGAACACCTTTTAGTTGAATGCAGGAAGAGCGATGGCAGCATGCTGGGACTTGCAGGGTAGACGCCCGAATTTGAGTGATCTTTCCAAAGGAGTACTGCTTGAACACTGATGTAACTCAGACATCAAACAAGGCGTGATCAGGATGATCAGCCTCCGCACCGTTCATTCCACAGCGTCAGGCGTCAAACGTTTCAAAACTAAAGTTAAAAAAAACACATTTCTGGTTCCGCTGTCAACTGTTGTCAACTTGTTTTTAGTTTGTCGTTATTGTTTGTTTTTCATGTTATTATTCGTCCATTAAATTGTTCACATTCATAACTATTTTGTTTCAATGAATAAACTATATGAGCAAAGAACTGCTATATAAATCACTGTGGAGTGAACAAGGAATGACCCATTACAATAAGCATGTGTGTAATTCCCATAGTTAAATACTATACTTATTTGAAGTTATTTCTCCAGTTTAATGTTTCAAGTGGATATGATGTCCCTAGCATCCCATACTGGCCGTAAGGGTTCAATCAGTGAGTGAGTGAGTGGGGTTTTACGCCGTGTTTAACAATATTCTAGCAATATCACGGCGGGGGTCTCCAGAAATGGGCTTCACACATTGTACAAATGTGGGGAAGAGTTCAGGGGAATGGAAGTCAGGCCTTCGGCTTGACGAGCGAACGCTTAAACCACTAGGCAATGAACATACAAACATGCCTAAATGTTGAGAATATGACATACAATTTGCTATCAAAGGTGGTTGCAAGTTTTAACTACTTGAAATAATGCCATAATCTCGTTTCTATGTACCGTCCAAAATGTGTTAATTTTGTTGAAGATGGATTTGGTAAAACGGCCATGACATAGTTGGGAAAGAATCTGTTTTGTTGAATTTAGCCAATCACATATCAAAAGATAATACCTTCGTAATACTAATGTCCTTAGAAAACGTTAACAGAGCTAAATTCATTTTAATATAATTGAGGACGTCAGTCTTCGTTCGTTTTAACTTTAAACACATGTTACCTCCCATGTTATTTGTCGTCAGTAGTCCCCTGGCTTTATTGTCATATATTCCATGTATCATGTTCTCATGGCGTAACCCGTGAAGGTACACTAACCCATGCTTGTCTAAGAGGCGACTAACGGGATCGGGTGGTCAGGCTCGCTGACTTGGTTGACACATGTCATCGGTTCCCAATTGCGTAGATCGATGCTCATACTGTTGATCACTGGTCCAGACTCGATTATTTACAGACCGCCGTCATATAGCTGTAATATTGCTGAGTGCGACGTGAAACTAAACTCACTCACTCACTCGCATGTTGTACGGAGTTCCGTGTCAGTCGTTTTCGTATTATGTTATGCTTGCAAGAGATGCTCACAATAGGTAACACTGGGATGTCTTACTCAGACAAGACCGCCTCCGTGGTGTAGTGGTTAGAGCGTCCGCCCCGAGAGCGGAAGGTCGCAGGTTCGATCCCCGACCGCGTCATACCAAAAGACGTTAAAATATGGTACTTGTTAGTCCCTGCCTGGCGCTCGGCATTAATAGGTACAGCAAGGACTGGTCGGCTCGGAGTCAGTATAATGTGTCTGAGTGGGGTATTCATGCTTCACTGCGGCATGGTTTCTCAGTGTGCTAGCACTATAAAACCAGCTTAAGTCTGGGCTAGTACAAGCAGCCGCACATACACGTACATGCACGTCGTCATATGAGCGAAATATTCTCAAGCACGACGTTAAACCCAATTTCACCTCACCTCACCTACTCAGACAACATTGTAGGCTGCGGTGAGGTCGTTCGAATACTGCTGACTGCGGCGGCGTTAAACAACAGTCTCTCACTTTACGTGGAGGTCAAGGTTATGTTCGGTATTTAATTACCAAGCATCATTATGTCGAATCACTACTTTGTCGATGCATTGAGTTCAAATGTGATATAATATCTTATATAGGACAGTGGCCCAGTAGTAAATGCCTTGTATCGTGACCGATGGTCCGGGTTTTATCCCCACATCAATGTGTTGCCTGACCGTGAATTTGCCGTGCTCACAAAGAACAAAAGAAGACATCCCGACGTTGTGTGTAATTCTTAAAGATACATGGAAAATCGGAACATGTGAAAATAATTAGGGGAATGATATATTCTAAGCGTATATTTGAGAAGAACATCTACACGTCTATTGAAATGCTTCCGACATGATGTCTTCATCCACCAAAACATACACATAAACGTGCTAAACCTACCCGACCGACACCTCGGTGCTTCCTCTGGCACAAAGCAGATTCTTTTCAAATCACTGTAAGTGTTCCTGTTTCTCAATGCAAATATCCCCATGTTAACGAGCTTAGAGAATGGCACACACACTCCGCAACAGGCGCTATACACGTGAGAACGGCACGTTCTCCGCTGTTGTTTGGATCACTTAATATGATTGGTTCTTCGTGATGTATCGATGAACTAGTAATTATCACTTGGGTTTCCATAGAAACGTTAGCATTGAAATATAACGTTAAAAATGTAAAGTACTCAGGAGAAATTGGTCGATTTCCAAAAATGGAGGTAATTTGTCAAATAGTTTCAGTCATAACATAACATGGAACTTCGTTAATTATACGCAGATGTCCCCAAAGGTAAACCCAATGAGAGGGTTCTGGACTGACGAACGTTCCTTGCATATGTAAAACTGACACAACTACCTATACCTTCCTCGCACACATGGTGATATAAGAGTGTGTTTGTTGTTAAACTCCTAAGTCCGCGCTAGTAGTACTCGCAATGGTTCAGCCATATGACGCGGCCTGGAATCGAGCCTGGACCCGATAACGGTGATAGATATTATGTGGATCGTCCAAAGCCACCTTGGCGGTGGGGTAGCCTACTGGTTAAAGCGTTCGCTCGTCACGCCGAAGACATGTTCGATTTCCGACATATGTACAAAGTGTGAAGCCCATTTCTGGTGTCCCCCGCCGTGATATTGCTGGAATATTGCTACAAGCGGCGTAAAACTAAACTCCCTCACCAAGCCGCCTGTGTACGATGACACAATCAGCCAAGTCACCGTACCTGACCCCTCTCTAGATGGTGACCACTTACAACCAGCATTGGGTGCTAGGCACTATTTCTCACCCTCAGTCCTAACGGGGTCTTAGATGGTGACACACTTGCTTACTGATAGTTGTTCATGCATTCCAAATTACCCAGCATGGGTTTTTATGACCGCAAGTTTATGGTTACTTCATGATTCTGTTGCGTCAGTATAGCTGTGAAATTTATAACCGTTTACCATCATAAATACACTGTAAGTGGAGCGAGCGCTGGACGGGACCAAATAGTTCCACAATTTGTCCGGTGTGATCTTACTGACTCATACTGAGGTGTGTAAGGTATTTACTAGGTGTTTTGTTCAGCTTTCAGTGTCTCAAGGAGTGAGTTTGGTTTTACACCGCTCTGGACAATGTTCGGTTATATAACCACTTATTACAGTGGTCAGTGTAGGAAGGATCAAGGTGATGCTGGTCGTGCGTGGGTTCAAGAACAACACTAGTATCAGGCCTACCAAAGAAAACTTTCCCACTGTGCAGAAAAACGCTGAAAAGTCTACATCAATTGTGGAAATAGCAACATAAACATAATACCTCGCCACTGAAACAGTAAAAACGGCAACCTTAAATCGCTAAAACTGGATGCGCACATGGAAGAGGAAGTCTCGCCCGCATGTTGACGTTTTCCAGCTTGGACAAAAGTTACATTCCCTATTTAAAGTATTTTTGTTGTGTTATTTGGCATTTATCATCATAATACTTGTGTTCACACTTGTTTAGTTTACTTTCCATTCGTATGATATGATTGACAGCATGTATTTGACAAAGAAGGTAAAAAGCATTAGACAACACATGTTAAACACCTACTATCTTCATGCCAATCATGGTTGTCACCCCCTTCAATTTTTTTATTGGAGAGGGTGGGGGTTGGGGGTTGACAACCAGTATTGGCATGAGTATATTTTCTACAGGATTTAATCATTTATGGTATGAACAAAACGTTGAATGTTCGTCATTGTTTCTAAATGCATTCACTCAAAGCTTAAAAGATATTTACCAGCAGAAATGGTCGGAAACAATTTCATTAGCTTCAAAATGTAATTAGTATTCAATCTTTAAAACACACATTTATACTGAACGTTATTTATCATGTGTTTATGTTAAGAAATACAGAATAGCTTTAGCTCGTTTCCGTTGTTCATCTCATGATTTATTAATTGAAAGAGGTAGGTTTATGAATATCAAAAGAGAGGATAGAATATGTAGATGTTGTAATAATAATCTTATAGAAGACGAATATCATTTTCTTCTACTATGCCCAGCATATAATACTATACGTAAAAAATATATTAAAGAACTCTATTTTGTCCATCCATCAATTGATACATTTTCGTCTCTATTGAATTCTTCAAATGAAAGTGTAATTAAAAATGTTGCGGTTTTCATTTATCAAGCCATGTCGATAAGAAATTTGTATATATGAAATGTACTATAGGCCTGTGGCCTCCTCAGTACTGAAATAAAGATTGATTGATTGACAGCAACTATTTCGACATATTTAATACTTTTTCGCGTTTTTATGCACAGGAGGAAAGTTTTCTTTGGTAGGCCTGGGTATGCTGCTTAGAGTTGAAAGGATCCCAATCTGGGATTCGAGCTGATGATCAGCGGATACTGACAGATGTAGGGGACGTAATGCTGCACAGTATCTCTAACGGCTTGGCGAGAATCAAGTGGTATCAAGTTGTTTACTGCGACCTCCATTAGTGAGTTTGTCGTGCATTTCCCGATTCTAAGATGTATAGTTGCCAGTAAGCAGCCTGTTGTGCCAAATACAACACTCCATTGTATTTTATTTACAAATTTATTACCGAAACAGTACAATGCTCAAACATTTCCAATACGAAAGAAAACATCGCTAGATATAACGCATTTTCACCCGTGCTGTCATTTCTAACAATATATACATTCCTGAACTAGATTATACGTATGCTGTAACACGAGAGCCTCAAAGATCGGCGTGGTGTGTTCAAAACGTCTGAGTTTTAATTTGTGTATCCTCGGTAAAAGCTCGAGACTGCATGTGCAGAAAATAGATCAGGAAATCTGCGTATATGTTGCACATTTTCACAGCATGAAGTTTCATGGTGAAGCAGGATCAATGTTGCTCTCAGTTCAAATGAAAATGCATGCGCGGATCAACAGTGAGTCATGAAAAGCTCGAGACGTTCCGAATGTATGACGAGGTTGGTCATTCGGCAGATCATCGGCAACATTCGACCGAAGGACGGTTGAGGTCGTGAACCTGATTTGTCAAAACTACTCTTGTGTATGGCATAATATGATATAACAGAACAGCTTAAATCTGATAGGCAATCCGATTAAAGGGATAAAAAGTTCCGATTCGGAGCCACAGAAGCTACTTATAGACTGTTCTGGCCTGCAGTGATATGTACAGTATGATAAATGATCTAAAAGTTGATTAAAGAGAAATTGACATGATCTAACAATATATATTTATTCACGTCTGGTTATATTTTCATATCCATATATATTTATATATATATATTCCATTTAATGATAATCTCAGTCATGGTCTGAATGTTTAACCAAAGATAAATTTTTCTTAAATATCCATTTAGTTATTCAATGTTCTAAATGTTCTGGTCGCGAGTCTTAGGTTCTGGACATAAGTTGCATAGACAGGTAATGTCAATTGTTATTAAAACGAAGAATAGAAATTAAAACAGTTAATAACCATCATTAAACCAATACATAGTGTATAAAAATGCATTATCAGTAACAAATACCAATTATACAAGGAAAGGAATTATATACATAATAAGGGATCTCTTCGCCTACTGTAAGTGACACATTTTGTAATTTGGGACACCTAATAACACCTTCTGACAGTCGCTGAAAGGGTATATAACACTGTCCAGGGTGTCTATAGGATTTACTCAAATGTATGAGAAACAGTTCAGTGAGAATATTTAAAATCAGTTCAACAAAATAATTCCAAGTCCAAACTGATTTTCAAAACTCTATTCGGCAGACTTGTTTTATTTTCAGTCTGGGATGATGAAATTGTCTGCTATAGTGGTTTGAGTTTTATACGGTTTTTTTGAGGTTAGTAAAAGAGCTTTGGCCATATCCAAGTTTCATGTCAATTGTCAAAGGTCAGCCCAGATCTTCGCGTTACCAAGTATGGCTCAATTGCTTCCTTTAGGTATATTGTCTACATCTGACTGCCAGTTAGGTTTCGTGATATCTTTTTGGGCAAAATGTTTGAACTTGCTATCTTAAGGTGCTCAACGATGGTGGTGTCCACCTGTAGCACAACGCTGGCCAGTGCACGTTGTGCCCATTTCAAGGTGATGTAGATGATTCTGTTATATACATCGTAATCATTAACTGCTGGAATGGTTTCATAGACATCGTATTTTTGAGCAGGGCAATGAAATGACGTTTGAATGTTATGAATCAATCTTGCAGGTACTTGAAAATATTAGTCACTAACGCTAGCATAGTAACCTGTATAATGGTCAATGGTTAGGTAAATTGTGTTGTGATCAAGATCTGGGTGCAGGGGCCGTGTTACAATGTTGTATCGTTGTAATCAGGTATTGGGAGACCTCACATCGGTAAATAAGATACAGTGGTGTGAAAAACTGGAAACCCCCAGTCCATGCTTGCACTTTCTTAAATAATTACTGCGATTACCACAAGAATGAAAACACAAATCTGGACTAAATATGTTTTCACGGGAGAGACCCATGAAGAATGGAGTTTTGCTTGAGGAGGCCAAGCTCAGTATACACATCTCTGTTTTATCAACTTTCACACTTTTTGATCAGAGCCTCGTGACGTCGTCTAATATTGGTTGCTTGGTTTCGTTTGAGTCCGCAGTAACCGTTACAACGCTCACGCCATTGGACGCAGGCGTAATGACGTCATTTCCGAAGGGCGTTTTCTCTGAGATAGTTGTGATTGCAGGAGTATACGTGAACTCTTGCTTCTTAGCTTGAATCGCCTTCTGTCGTTGTGCCTCAGCCTCTCTTTGTGACTTTAATTCATTGTCATGGGCTCTTTTGGCGTAGGTTTTCTGAAAACAGTGGACATATTTCCATCAGTGTGGGCTGGATTGTATAATGAACATGTAAATCACCATGGTTACTTAAATAGAAGAGTTTAATCTAGTTAATCTAATCCAGATATAAAACGATCATCGCCATGTAAAAGCTAAAATTTACTATTCAAAAGCAGCTGAAGAACATGTTTCATATATCTGTCATGGAATACCCGACTGTCCACGAATATGCTGGCCCCCTTGGTAAGCCTTATGTAACTTACACTTTGTTAAACTGTATGTAACATGTAACTTACACCTTGTTAAACTGTATGTAACATTTGACTGACACCTTGTTAAACTGTATGTAACATGTGACTGACACTTTGTTAAACTGTATGTAACATGTGACTTACACTTTGTTAAACTGTATGTAACATGTGACTTACACTTTGTTAAACTGTATGTAACATGTGACTTACACTTTGTTAAACTGTATGTAACATGTGACTTACACTTTGTTAAACTGTATGTAACATGTGACTTACACCTTGTTATACTGTATGTAACCTGTGACCTACGATGAAATTTGTTTAACCGTATGTAACATGTGACTTAAAATAATATATTGTTAAACTGTGTGTAACATCTGCCTTGCTCTGACACCTTGTTAAACTGTATGTACGATCTGCCTTGCTCTGACACCTTGTTAAACTGTATGTACGATCTGCCTTGCTCTGACACCTTGTTAAACTGTATGTAACATGTGACTGACACCTTGTTAAACTGTATGTAACATGTGACTGACACCTTGTTAAACTGTATGTAACATGTGACTGACACCTTGTTAAACTGTATGTAAGATCTGCCTTGCTCTGACACCTTGTTAAACTGTATGTAACATGTGACTGACACCTTGTTAAACTGTATGTAACATGTGACTTACGCTGACACTGTTGCAGGCACACAGGGACATGAAGACACCCAGGATACTGAAGGCGGTGGCTGCTCCCCCTGATGCTAGGTGCATGAAGAGCAGGGGGGGACGGTCACAGGCACCTACGCGGTATATGTCGCTGCAACCACGCATAGCATATGACATTAAATACAAACTGCATATTAACTATACATCGTCTTGGCATACAGTGTTTGCTAATATTGAACATGGTGTTTATTTTATTATATTGTAATTAAAACAGGTGATTAACAAGAAAATACGATATTATATATCACTAACCTTCACATTCAAACACTCCGTATCATACTACGATTAAAATCGCACAAACAACTACTGTTTATAATTGGAGCAACAGCTATAAATAATATTGTTCCCTGAAACTACTATTAATACTGTACCAGCTAATATCTTTACAAGAACCTGTATCGAAACGTACTCTAGAAGTTGTCATCCATAATATACTTGTTCTATCTTACTTCCAACTTCTAAAGTGCCACTCAAAGAAGTCTACCAGCACCTGCTATTAAAACTGTACCACGAACTATTATTAAAACTGTGTCAGCAACTACTATCGACAGTGGACTAGTTACTACAATTGAAGTTGTACCACAGACTACTGTTAAAGCTGGAACAGCAACTGTCAAAGCTGGAACAGCAGCTGTCAAAGCTGGAACAGCAAGTGTTAAAGCTGGAACAGCAAGTGTTAAAGCTGGAACAGCAGTGTTAAAGCTGGAACAGCAGCTGTTAAAGCTGGAACAGCAAGTGTTAAAGCTGGAACAGCAGCTGTTAAAGCTGGAACAGCAAGTGTTAAAGCTGGAACAGCAAGTGTTAAAGCTGGAACAGCAACTGCTAAAGCTGGAACAGCAAGTGTTAAAGCTGGAACAGCAAGTGTTAAAGCTGGAACAGCAAGTGTTAAAGCTGGAACAGCAGCTGTGGAACAGCAGCTAAAGCTGGAACAGCAAGTGTTAAAGCTGGAACAGCAAGTGTTAAAGCTGGAACAGCAGCTGTTAAAGCTGGAACAGCAAGTGTTAAAGCTGGAACAGCAGCTGTTAAAGCTGGGACAGCAAGTGTTAAAGCTGGAACAGCAGCTGTTAAAGCTGGAACAGCAGCTGTTAAAGCTGGAACAGCAAGTGTTAAAGCTGGAACAGCAGCTGTTAAAGCTGGAACAGCAAGTGTTAAAGCTGGAACAGCAGCTGTTAAAGCTGGAACAGCAAGTGTTAAAGCTGGAACAGCAAGTGTTAAAGCTGGAACAGCAGCTGTTAAAGCTGGAACAGCAAGCTGTTAAAGCTGGAACAGCAAGTGCTAAAGCTGGAACAGCAAGTGCTAAAGCTGGAACAGCAGCTGTTAAAGCTGGAACAGCAAGTGTTAAAGCTGGAACAGCAAGTGTTAAAGCTGGAACAGCAGCTGTTAAAGCTGGAACAGCAAGTGTTAAAGCTGGAACAGCAAGTGTTAAAGCTGGAACAGCAAGTGTTAAAGCTGGAACAGCAAGTGTTAAAGCTGAACAGCAAGCTGGAACAGCAAGTGTTAAAGCTGGAACAGCAAGTGTTAAAGCTGGAACAGCAAGTGTTAAAGCTGGAACAGCAAGTGTTAAAGCTGGAACAGCAGCTGTTAAAGCTGGAACAGCAGCTGTTAAAGCTGGAACAGCAAGTGTTAAAGCTGGAACAGCAGCTGTTAAAGCTGGAACAGCAGCTGTTAAAGCTGGAACAGCAAGTGTTAAAGCTGGAACAGCAAGTGTTAAAGCTGGAACAGCAACTGTTAAAGCTGGAACAGCAAGTGTTAAAGCTGGAACAGCAACTGTTAACGTTGCATCAGCAACATATATTAAGATGTACCAGCAACTTCCATTACAAGTGTACCAGGAAGTAATGTTAACTCTATGACAGCAACCATTATTACTGTACCAGCAACTGAACCTACTGGTAAATCCGTGTCAGCAACTGCTATGCTAACCTCCCCCATCCACGCCCTTTGATTGAAGTTAAGATGGCTGATGTCAGACGTGTCCCCGTTCTACGTTATTGTCGGGGTAAGTTATTCTACAACCTCTCCGGTTCAATAGTGAAGTTTTCCGAATATTTACTGATACTTACGTGCAGTTTTCATTATTGAAATAAACCGTTTCAATGGAGTAACCATAGCAACTGCCGCCCGCCAGCATCGCGATGATCATGATAGCGACGTGGATGGAGAGCTGAAAACACGCGACAAATACTTCAGGGTTGATCGTTAGAGTTTGATTGGAAAGGGGTGTCCCAAATATAACCTCCTTCCCGCCCCTAACCCCCATCCCCACCAATTCCGAACCAATTCGTACTTCTGTTGGAACATCTTCTACCCCATCCATATGGATAGAAGGGTGTATTTTAAGGACAAAGCTGTGTTCAATACTTTACTATTTCACTTGAATGAGTGAGGAGATACATTGCATTCTACACATAGCACTGGTTCAATCTTGCATTTAAAACTCACTGCTGTTCTGTGGCGCTTGAACGCAACTGCCGTCCCTGACACGCCCGGGAATATGAACTGAAATGAAACAAAGGGTTGTACTTTTAAGCAGGGAGACTTATATAAGGCCTGTTGTAGAGTATCCCTGTTTTAAGGAATTAGAGGTAGACACACAAATCCATTATCGTCTTCTTTTCGCAGTCATTGCATTTGCCTGCACACACGTCGTTACTTTCAGTTATAACACGACGCAGACAGGTACTTCCATTGTGACGTATTTAGAACAGGTGTTACCTTATAGGTCTTCCAGTCTTTGAGTACTGCTCGATGGCTCTCGTTAAAGTGTGTGAGTTAGTTTAGTTTAACGCCGCTTTTAGCAATATTCCAGCAATATCACGGCGGGGGACATCAGAAATAGGCTTCACACATTGTACCCAATGTGGGGAATCGAACCCGGGTCTTCGGCGTAGGGAACGAAAGCCTTAACCACTAGACTGCCCCACCGCCCTCCCCGTTAAAGAGGTTTGCTAGTACAGCAGATAAGACTGAACCGGATTTCTCCGTAAACCATCTATATCATATGTGTGCAGATAGGTAAGCAATCATCGTTTTCATTTATATACCTGAACTTCAATATCTTCGCGTTTATGGACATAGTAACGTTAAAGGTGATGCACAGATTAGAGTGCAGACACGTAAATCTGCATTCTGCACTCCAGTTTATTTTATGTTTATAGCTCTATAAAGTAAAAAACCTGTTACATAAGAGTAAATGAGAGACGAATCAGGTACAACAATGTCATAGATTCATGCAGAGTGTTTGAAAATCTATACTTTTGATAAAAAACCCCATGCTACTACATCTAAATTGCAATGGAGTGACAGTGATTTTCTTGAACGTGTACACAATGTTATATAAGAGGTTATTGCTTTACAGTGTGGGTTTCGCGAATGAGAAAACTATCGAATCACTGACTTACACGTATATATGGTGATATGAAATACACGCGTATATAGCACATACACATAGAGATTAAACAATAAGAACTAAGCATACTACGCAGGTTAGGACACGCGGCTTTATCAATGTCAGTCGCGTTAGGATCACGGGAACTTGACGCTCTATAGAAACGTCACGTTGTGTTTTTGGTGAGTCATGAGACCCGTCATCTCTTCTGAGCTGTCTAATTCCTACTTGTGTGATGTGAATAACAGCATCGGCCCCGCCATGTATGACGGGCGATTTAAGACATGACGCAGAGGCATTACCTATAGACGCCACCGTGACGGCGAGACGTATACTGTCACGTATTACAAGAGGGTATGGACTTTGTACAGATTGGCTAGCTAATACATCGTGTCCAACGTGTTTCAAAATTTTTCGTTCAAGCGTTATTGAGTGAGTATGTTTTACGCCGCATTTAGCTACGGGACGGTGGCTTCAAATGAATAAATAAATAAAAAAAATAATAAAAAATAAAAACTAAATAAATAAATAAATAAAATAATAAAAAAAATAAATAAATGTTGCACACTTCGGCTTAAGACTAAATTCGCTCATTCATGCCTATTCTTACATTTCGCTTCATTGATTCAAAATACAATTAAATGTTTGTGTGGCAAATTGACCGGACAAAAACTAAACATTAAAGGTAAAGGAAATTTATGCACACACAGAAGTTATACCAAACTCGTAAATTACAAAACATATCTAAAAATTCAGATATAACTACGCAATATTGGGGGGTACGGGTATGGGGGGACTTGGGGTCAATTACTGGAAGCAAGACGCAGCAAGTAGCTTCTAGCACGTCGTATATCTTGTGATATGCCTGGAACAGTGCTACTGGCTGGTCGACAATAACGCGCCCCTACCATATACCCATGGTTATATTTCATATTGTAGTGGTATATAAATCAAAACAACGTTAGTTATGCAAACACTTTAATTCCTGTTAACAGACCGTTTATAAAGACCTGGGCCCAGCAAAACATTCCGGGGCTCCGATATAGTTCAGCTCTTCTATACTACATTGATTCTGGCAAAGGATTTCACTGTCTCCAATACACAAACGAAAACGACTTATTTCGTGAAAATACTCCTGAAATATGTAGCACTACAAGTCTCACATGAAACTCCTTTGCACAGGATAGCTCGTTGAATTTTTTGAAAAAGCACACGTCTATGTCGACTAACATACATTATAAGGGTTTCTTACTTTTTTCTCTTTACCGCCCATGAATTCGATATAACGCGCGACCGGCCTTTAGTAACTCTTAACAGACTCAATGGCATTTGTCACCATTCGCATCCGTTCGGGTCCAGTCGGCATAGTACTTTACCTACGTATAGGCATGGAAGTGATTTGAGGAAACAAGCAAGTTGTCTTTCGTTTTTTCCCATAAAAACTAGAGTCTGTCCCATGAGACCTAGTTTGAATCCACTTTAAAACATTGACATTACTTAGTGAAATCAACAGTAACTGTAAAATATAGCATGGAATTTTAAAATATGAATGTCTTAATATGAGTATATATAAGTATACTAGTAGATGTAAATATAATATATACCCTTCTTCCCTGGTGTCACCTTGGTTTTACCGTGTGATGTTCAGGTGAATAATAGCGTTACACGGTGACGGGCGCTGACAGTCTGGCGGTATCCCCCGGGCAATCTCACCCGACAATCAGAGGACACCGCTCTAACATACAGACGACTTGGACATATATATACAGTATCAGCTCGGACTCGTCGGTTACTCCGGTGGCGTGAACCGGTCGGGTTTTCCCGGGTGCAGTGCGTTTGAAGTAGAGATGGCTTCGGAAATTGGAAGACATAGATTCAAGACGATGGGGAGGATGGCTTATTTCACAGACCCTAACATCATCCCTTCCCTACAAGCGTTGTTACGAAACAATTTTATAAAGGTTTATTTCGATTCTGATCAAGGCCGTTTCCACCTTTAACTGTAGGGGGCGTGGCTAAAAAGGGGTAACGTGATAGTAAAGCATCATGGATTTCCCTTGAGATCGGCAAGCCACAGATATGTAAGCAATAACATACATCTCCTTTGTTTTCAAAGAAAATCACTATATTGGCATAAGATTTGTGACATACGCACATGTATAAATGTCACAAGATGCGTGTAATGGCCGCTTTCACGCTAGTGTTAACACTAGTGACAGCGATGATAATGGGGGGTTACCTAGATGGGGGTAAGAACGTCCGGAATAACGAAGTTCAACATGCATGGAAGTCTATCCCCATCTGCTGTCAGGTTAACATACGCAAAATCGATACGAAGTGTTACTTGTGCCCTCGTCCCGTCACCGGTCTTCGAGAGAGTCATCGAGAGCTAAATTCCAGAAGTAACTATCCTGCACGTTTGTTTCACGTCTTAAATGAAAAGTAGTATTAACGCAAGTATCATGGACAGTTATGGGGTTTCAATCTGACAATTTAGGTCACATGTTACTGTGATCTTCCAGCCTTCAGGTATCACTCGATGACGTCCTTTAAACAGCTACATAAGACAAGACAAGCCTGAACCAAGCCTACTTGTGGCAGCAGGGATGGCGTCCAGCTTCGACCACAGCCTGAAGATGTCGGAGATTTCTAACAGGGACACTATTACCCTACTATTAATCAGCTTTCTGTCATTATCTTAGAGAGGATAATGAACATGCGCGTTAATGATCCTGTTTGGACCAGTGTCATTGGAACGCGGCTTTGTAAGCCCTCGAGATGGCACGACGGTATTCAAGTCGTAACCCGTCCATCAAAAGACTTAGTATTGGATAAGTTCATCACGCGCTGCTGATTTTCAACGTGCACCGATGAATGTACATAACTCATGGTTAATACTAATTGTGCCATTTAACTCATTTCTTATCACTAGGATTAGGTCATGAAAATACAAATTCCCATTACATAATAATTATGTACCAGAATATTAGGTGACCTAGCTCCCACATCTAACATGTGATGATACTGACAAAGAGTCCATTGATAACGGTTGACCCGAACGAGCCACAGCTTTGAAGAGTCACTGTCCTTTGTCATTACTCTTGCTTATTTATTCCTGGGACACATAAGGAATCTTTCCTTTAGCCATATATGTAAAAGACCTCCGAATGAAAACGTCCGGGTTTCCTGGTTTACTCGCAATCTGGCAGGTGGAGGGAACACGTGGCCTAATGTCCGACTATTGTAGGTCAAGAGGAACTGGAACGTACTCTGTGCCGCTACGGTCACCGGTCAGCGCTGTGTACAACAGGGGACATGACAGGGGACAGATGAGTGGGTGGGGTGACGTGTAATGTCCTGGTATTAAACAACGACGGTATCGGGTGCTGGAGCTTATTCTCTGCCAGACAACAGTGCTCTCTACAATGGGTAACATGACAGTTGGACACTGCTTACACTGCTGTACACGTTGTCCCTCCTCATGCTGTCATGGAGGCGGTGACACTTCCTGGATGTCCGACGTGACAAGCACACAGACAGAAGGTCTCGTCACACCTCGGCATTTTCCGTAAATGACATACATATAATTATAGTCCAGTGTTGGTTCCCCTGATCTCTAAGGCAGAAGAAGCCGAATGTTACCTGCGACACATATAAATGCAATGGTCTTATGTTTATCAACGTTTCTCGAGAGAAAGGAAATTGAAAAGACATTTAACTTATTACTGTTAACCGTGTTTCCCAGTTCCAAATACGCCAAATTTGCTTCACAGCTGTATGCAAAAGAGAAAGGTGACAGATCCTTGACTTGGGAACAGAAGGTGCTCCAGGCTGACACCTCCTGTCTTCTCTGACATGGTGGGCGCTGGAGGGATGACACAATAGCACGTGGCTGAATGAAATATACAGCTGAAGACCGTGTGAAAGATCTCGGTACAAAGTACAAAATAACTGTCACAATATGCATATGCATACGTGGAAGTAGAACCCTTGACTATTGCGGATGAATACGTATATTGTTTCGTTTGTCAGTATGTATCATGTAAACAACATTGTTGACGTAACAGACAGAAGTGTTGACGTAGGGCTAATAACGTCATCACGTTGAGGTAGCGTTGACGTCGGGTTAACATAAACATGTGTTCCCAGGCATGCTTACAGTTGTAAACAGACACAGCCTATGTAAATGCTTCTCTTCATGCTACCCATGTTAGCATTATTATTCGAGGTGTAACCTACATAACTTCTCGTCCACAAGTATAGCATGGATAACACGACCGCCTCAGGGGTTTCGAGGAAGAGTGAGTCTTTTTTTACGCCGCTTTCAGCAATATTCCAGCAATATCACGACGGGGGACACCAGAAATGGGCTTCACACATTGTACCCATGAGGGGAATCGAAACCGGACCTTCGGTGTGACGAGCGAACGCTTTGAACACTAGGCTACCTCACCGCCCCTCAGTATAGTCAGAAATAGATTGGTCCTGAGATAGTAAATTGCGTTTGAGATGAACGTGAAACTGCAGCAATGGTATATGTGTTCCAGTTTGTTAAAACCGACAGAAATCCCGACAAGTAAATGAGCCATAAGCAATCACACAAACACACGCGCGCACCAGGTTGCCCTCTCAGTATCTGAAAATGAATGCGTTTATTACTGTTTGGTGGAGACACTTATGGCAGGGCTCCAGATAAGGGCCGTATCGGCGTATGTACGGATAGAAAATATGCACGATACGGTAGGAAATAATTTCGAAAACGTAGCAGATACGCACCACAGCAATGGTGTACGGTGTTAGAATCATTTACAGACGTATTTATCTGAACAATTATTGTTTTATTGTTTATTGACCTGTTTACACAAACGTAGCAATGTTGTGGTGCATATATGAAACGAAACACATTACTGATACTCCATTAAATTCCATTCAGTACTCTTAAGGTTTTCCAGTACTCCTGTATTGAAAAAATAAGGAGTACGTACTCCTGATGTTGAAATATTATCTGGAGCCCTGACTTATGGGTTCTTTGTGTCTAAGACAGAATAAAGATCAGTCAATAAAATTTCATCTCATAACTCGTCAGTGCACAGTGGGCATCTCCTCGAGTGACTGTACTCTAATGTATAAACCTCGAGTGTTACACAATCAGTATTTGATTATGTCTAACCCACCGAAGCCATTCCGGTGAATTTAATCACAATTGTATGTAGATCTGTACTGCTCCATGACTGGCGGGTTACCACGACTACAGCGGTCCCAACATCCTTGCAGTCATCAGAGACGATTAACACAAATGCCCCATGACAGGCCGAACACTGCATAGATGTATACTCAGGGGCCACATGGGAGTACTGTCTCTATACAGCAATCAATAGAACACGAATACTAGTATTTTAAACAGCCTGCAAAACGGCCTGGCAAAGTCGTGAACCCTTATGTTGTACAGCTAATTTATAGAGGTTCAAGTCCCCACTACAGCGTGGGTGGAAGAAACTCGCCTCTAGTGAGGGGCGGTGGACAGCCTTGTGGATAAGGTGTTCGCTCGTCACGCCGAAGGTCCGGGTTTATCTCTCACATGGGTACAATGCGTGATCTATGTGACTAATGCTAACAAATCACATTTATTGTGTTTCATGCCGTGATCTATGTGACTAATGCTAACAAATAACACACTAACTGCAGGGATAAACATGTCTTGGGTTCGAATCCAAGATTCCCCTGGTAATGATCCTTGGTTTGCCAGCATAGCTGTAACAGAATTGGATGGTTGTAGGTTCTAATTTCAGATTTACCGGGTAATTCCCCTGACACTTCATTGTATATACCAAAGAGTTGAATTCTTGGACTTTCGTCAGCCTAAGTAAACGTAGGCTCAGTATTGTTCGTTACACTGCTATACTGCACCGTTTAACGAACTTACTCATAGGCGGATCTAAGGGGTGGGGGTGGGGTGTGTATATGTGTGTGTGCAACACTTTGTGCTGATAGTTTGTTAATTGACCATTGAAACTCGGGTGAAAATGAAGTGTGCACCCCTCCTTTTCTCAATAGTGTGCATCCCCCTTTCTCAAAAAGCTGTATCCGCCCCTGTTACTCACTCCTTGTACACTGACATGAAATCGACACATTATCGTGTCTTTCTGTAGACTATCAGTGATAGATGCCCATATTCACGTTATGGTGTGGTTTGTGCGTTATAGCGGGGTACTCACCGGTATACCTGACATCCAGTAACCTCCGATCTCCGGGCGGAACCGAACAAGCGAGCGAAGGACGATCACGGACCCAGTACCTGAAACACCGAATTAATGGCCGTTATAATGTGGCCACCTGTACATTCTGAGGAATATATCTGAAATTCAGTATATCTGAAATGCAAAGGCTGGAATATCTTTAGTATACAATAATATTACCTAAAATTATTTGGTTTACTATTTCCTTCAGTTGTGTAGCGTTGTGGTTGTCGTATTAGCTCGTCACGAAGCTGGTTCGATTATCTACAGAACCACGTTTAGTAATATCCATACTGCCATTTCATGATGATGATGAAGGCAGTCCAAAGCCCCAGTCTTCAAACCCTCTTCGTATAAAACAACGACTGGTAATTTGCTTTTGACCCTCCACCCCTACCCCCTCGCCTGATAACAAATGGCCAGTCTCTCTACTGACTGACTGACTGAGTTTGGTTTTACGCCGCTTTTAGCAATATTCCAGCAACATCACGGGGTGGACACCAGAAATGGGCTTCACACATTGTACCCATGTGGGGATTCGAACCCGGGTCTTCGGCGTGACGAGCCAACGCTTTAACCACTAGGCTACCCCAACGCCCCGCCAGTCTCTCTAAATGAAAGAAGCGGGAACTATGTCAGTTCTGAAATTGCCACCCCTGCAATAAAGTCCTAGTTCCTGATGATAGCTCAGTAATTGTTCAGTTTACACTGATAGTTTCTCATATAATTAACATCAAGTGTATGAAAAGTCCGTGTACAACTGCACCAACCCACCCCAGGGATCGCCTCAGTACAACATACAGCCAGTACTCAGTTAAGGCTACCGTTTACACAGATACATCAGCCACCAGGCTGCAAACCGTAATTGAATCCCCCCTCCAAACATTACAAGAATCAATAAAATAAAAAAATAATAATTTAATCTAAATCCCATAACCAATATATAATACATGAACCTCATGGAACGTTCTCCTCAAACCAAACCCCCTGTGTATACAGCCGGGGGACACGGCGCTGTACCAGGAACCGTTGCCAAGGCAATGGTTGCAACTATCCAGCCGACTCGCATAATCAGATGATGGATGGGAACGGTGCAACATGTCGAGTAGTTGGAGGCACAGTCTCAGCAACCTATATTACAAATGTCGGTTCATGCCAAGACACTTTCTTGTATTGTTTCTTTTTTTTCTCTCATCAGCATAACATGTTGGAGCCTGTTGAGCACTTCTCCAGCTGCGGGCCATGGGGTAGCCGAGTGGTTAATGCGTTCGCTCGTCACGCTGAAGACCCGGGTTCGATTTCCCACCGTATGGGTACAATGTGGGGACATTTCTTGTGTCCCCTGCCGTGATATTGCTGGCATATTGCTAAAAGCGGCGTAAAACCAAACTCACTCACTCTTCTCCACATTCACTTCTACAACATGAGAGTTCTTCTGACGTCCGTTCCGTTTACCAGACAAACACAAACGCCATATAATGAATTTATCTTCTCACCTATCAGTGATAATATATTTATTCAGTAACTGAAGGCGGTAATCTCTCTTGTTTTGACTGCCTTCAGTCAAGAAAGTGTTTGAAAACATTAATCACTTTTGTAAACAATATCAGCTGTACATTGTACCAACCCAAGCCATTGCAATCCAGGTAAAAGTCATCCAAACACGCTTCAAGTGATAATCTATCACCATCACCACTGCGGCGAGTACAGAATCTTGTGACAACCTGCGGCTATATTCCCCGCCTTCAGCACACTCACACACACAACAGATCAGTGTTTTCTTTCAAACTATCTGTCTTCATCTGCCAGTTGTCTACCCTGGAATTAGGTCAGTGTAACGGGGATTACAACATCCCGGAGTAAGTAAAGACAGGTGTTGGGGATCCGAGGCTTAACACGGGATGTAAGTCATGCTGTATATACGGCGCATACAGGAAGAGTCAACCATAGGCAAAACTGTTTTAGTTTTACTCTTAGGACTTTTGTATCAGAAGGTTAGCTTCTTTTCCTCAAAATCTTTGATTGGAGGTCGAAATAATACTAAAATGAACGTCCTTTGATTTATTTTCTTGTTTTTGTTGGAATGTAAGTTCGGTGGAATGGCATCTGTTTTTATAAACTGTTTGTTTTAATTTTGGCATTTCTGTGATATACGACTGCGATGTTAAACCGTTTGCAGTGAGTCCACGTGACCAAGACAAGTCGGTGAGTATGCCTATATGTCTGACATGGAAACACTTCGTGTGACCATCTGTGCACGAACGTGATTATGAGGCAAGGTGTAAATGACATAAAAATAGAATTAAAAGGGGTCAATATTTCTGCAAGTCATTCAAAGTTACCGCTCCAGAAAGCAACCTGTATAACCCTACGGCTGTCCAAAGTATATTTTGGGGTTTGGGAGTTGTTGCCTTCACGTAAGCGCTAAGTTATTTCTACACTGACAGCGTAATGTTTTGGGTCGATGGATAGACCAAACGGTGGCCATCGCCTACTTCACATCCCCAAAGAAGTAAAATATTTATGGTGTGACGGATGTACATTTTACATAAATATAATCGCCAAAGATGAAAATGTACTTAGTCATTTTGACCACTAATATTTTTTCGTCACAGATGTTTTTTCAATTACATATTGTGTCAAAGTACATTCCGCAATGCCGTATTGTGACATTCTTTGATATTCTCTTCATGTCAGCTTAACAGATAAAACAGAGATAAGATTTCAAAACAGTTTCAAGCAAATGATACTTTAAAGGTCACATGCAACCAAAAAATCAAACATAATTAAAACACAATTATCACTTATTCATGACATATAATATACATTGCTGGTTATGAAAAAACATAAAAACAGTGAAATCGGTAATCTATTGTAATAACATATAAAAAGCTCGCGCCTGTGAAATATCAACAAAACATTAGAAAAATAGCTCACACCAAAGCCTTCACCGAATATTCACCGGACAACCCGCTTCCAAGCTCCGCGAACCTATTTCATTGCGCATGTGCTATGAGCGCAGCTCAGCTGTTGAAACCATTTCAATTCCCCCAAGCGCTGGGGGAAAGTTAGTGAATTGTTTGAACTACGATTTCGCGCGGATTTTTCATCGCGATATTTTTCAACTTTATAAGTTGAATTTGCATTTTTGATGATTTGTTTCCGTAAGTCCATACCGAAAGGTATCAGAATCTGCAAAGTTGTGTTTTACGTTGCATGTGACCTTTAAGGTATTGTGTCTATGTGTCGAAGGAACAACCCATACCTCATTCTGGCTTCAGACACCGAGGTGAATGACCTTCCTGACAGGCTATTGCTTCAAGCAATATGACCCCGCTATCCAATTGAATAATCTGTTACAGAACACTGGCGTCTTTGTCTCAGATCAACCATTTCTGAAACTGACTTTAGTATCTTAGTACTTCTACAGTACGAACTATATTACTACATTTACAAAAATCAAGGTTACCATGGAAAAGACAATAAACACAATGACATGTTGAATGTGTGCAGAGATATTTTGAAATTGGTGTTTTTATTGTGGCTTTACGGCTATACCGTGCATACTGTTATCGGCCTGGTTATATATTAAGACAATATAACGTTACTATGGAAATCTATGGGAAAACATTTGGTTTTGTGTAACCTGTACAGTAATAGCAATGGACGTACAATGTGCAAGTCCCTATGCGACATGCAATTCCTGATCCCCTCGAACGTATGGACTCTATTTCAAACAGGGAATTATTTACTCTGGCCTAATATTAAATGTTTCAAGAGGAGAATATACTTTCAAGCCGTCAAATACAAGAACCATCAATCACTGGAGAAACAAGCAACGTAGTACTGTACACGCGTTGGGCGGTTCCAGACGCCCACAATGTCTTTGCCAAAGCTCTGGAGCATGGCTGAGCCCCGGAGCATGAAACTTATCTCAGTACAATATCAGTGTGAGGAGCACAAAGGCGACATGTCCTGTTTGACCTTGCTTGACATAATGACCTTCTTGGAGGGTCATTGTTCGGGGAAAGATTTATTACATGTATGTAGAACTTGCGGTCATGTCACATTGCAACCACTCAGTGTATACCACAGGTGTGGGCACATTTTAGATGGGGGTAGTTTGGAGAAGATTTCCTAAAGGCTTTCACTGATCATGGGGATGCAGTAACTAAAACAATATTATAAAAGGCGAAATTTTAACAATGAGGTTTTCTGTTATTAAATACAAACACAGACGTGTGTTTAAACAACGTGAAGGACATATGAATAAGTGGATTAGCACCACAACCAGACACAGCACACGGTGCAGCTGTTTGGAGCAACATGGAGGGGTGTGGAGCGTATCATGTCAGTGAAATAAAGAACGGAATACTGGGATTTGTGAGGAAATACACAATTTAAAATCATTTGTCCCATCAAAGAACATGTCAGGTTATGAGAAGAGGTAAAAACGTGCTATTTGACAAAGAAAGTTAAAAATATCTTCTGTTTATGTTTGTTTCAGGTAAGAAAACTAAGCAACTGTTCTTACATTAACTGCTGGGCTAAAGGAAGAGAACACCCGTGTTTCATGGTGGCTTGAATAAAACAAGCAAGAAATGGTCTATAGATGATGATGTATTTGATAAGTTGGCTGGGAGTCGGCGAAGTGATTGAAGTATACCCTATGATTCATGGTTTTTCTAAAATAAACCAAACAAGAAATCGTCTTTCAATGATGTATTTGATAGTGGCATCATGATAGTGTTTTGAACCCTTACGTTTGCAGGGTTTCGGTGATTGCTTTCAGCCTAGTAACGCTGTAATGACTTTTATAATGTGCTGGTCAAACCCGGTTTTAGGTGTATACTTACTTTATCCCGTCAGTATAGACAGGTTTCTTTGTATCTGTACTGACATTGTAACGACTTACAGTCAGGTCACATCTCGTTCATCAACCCGGACACCATGTAGTGACATCAGGGACTAGCTTGACCAACTTACACGACCAACCCATCACACATCCCATCCATTATGACAGACCATCAGCAGCCTCACTGCAACTCAATCACGAAAC